GCCCCCTCCCAGCTTCTTGTGCCCCTCCAGCCTTCTCAGTCGGTAGAGCACGGGAAGCTGAAAAGTCCTTGACTTGCTTGTGTAAGCACTGCTTAGCAACAACTAAAACATCAGTGTGTTATCAACACTATTCTGGTACTAAATCCAAAACACAGCACTGTACCAGCTACTAGGAAGAAAATTAACTCTATCCCAGCCGAAACCAGGAGAGCATGTAACCATACTCTAAATATTGAGCTTACTACTGAATTGAGTACACAGATTCAGAGTCTGATCAGTGCTCCTTGCATTATTTATTTTGTTCTTACATTCAGTTTGTTTTTCATTATTTCTAGAGTTCTCATCTGGAACAGATGATGGCTGGCATTAGTGCAAAGAACAAACAATATGGAGAATGAAAAGCTGGGGCATTTGTTGAGCTGCAGTTTGTGGTTTTGATGATAGCTAGGAGAATGTGAGCAAGCTTTGGGGCTGTCTCACAGCCAGGACACATATGGGCACTAGGACTTTAGCCTTCTTCTTTCCCTTCCCTCTGTAACCAGGGTCAGAAAGGAATTTACATTTTAAACTAGCAACCCGTGAGTGATTTTTACATTTTAAACTAGCAACATCTTAAACTGCAGCCCTGTACAGCATCCTACCGTTACCCCACAGAAAGGTGGGCAGTGCAACAGTGAAGAAAACAAGCAGCGTGTCCGGACCCTGCTGCCAGTGCTTGGGGTTGCCTGTCCCCAGCGCTGCCTGCAGCACTGGATGCGCTGCTGGTAACACAGCCAGCTTGCTGCCTCCTGCCGCGGGCAGCCCAAGCATCCCTTTCGGGGTGCGCTCCGCCTGCTGAGATAGCCAGGCGGTGCCACGCAAACAGCGCGTAGCATCCTTAGTGCAGAGCTTTATGTGGTGGCTCAGGTTTTGTACAGCAGGTTTCTTCCGCTCCTTTACTCACGCCGTACGAGAGGCAAGACCTTTTACTCAGAGTGACCTCAGGTCCTGCTCGTATTAAGACAGTATCTGTGGGGTTTCCTTCACAAAGGGAAGTGTCATTTATAGATGGTTTTAATACCAGAAGTGCTCTTGGTCAAGGGCATCATTAATTGTTTTGGCTTCAAAATAATTACATGAAATAGCTAAATGAATAACGCTCTACATGAGAAAGTTCATGTCCTTGTACGCCAGCAATGAATCTGTAGCTTGTTTTCATGTGGAATTTTATTAGAATTTCATTATTAACCTACTCTGAGTTGTAAGAATTAAAATAAATGTGAAAGCTGGTCGATGCCTGTAGTCAATGCTCCTGGGAGTATGTGGCACTCTCCTGAAAAATGCTTCTGACCTATTGCACGCAAAAGAAATCTCTGGCCTTTAGAAAGAAAACATAGCTGACATTTCAATAGTCTTCTTGTATCTAATGAGTATCAAGTGACTTGTGTGCGTGTACATCAGTTTGATATTAAATTTATTTAGTAGCGAATTTCATTTGTTTTGTTTCTGAACAGACTCAAGTTTCAAACCTTGATAATAAATATTTTCAATTTTGGGGATGTGAGGAATACAGAGCGGCCTTTTTGGTGCTGCAGCCTTAATATTTAATCAGCTGGAGAGAACATGTGAAAAGCCTAAACTAGTAAGAGACGTAACATTTAATAATGAAAGAAAGAGAGCTGCGATGCATCTGAATAGGCACTAATTGCAAGACATTAGGATGCTGCAGCTACAGTCTGGATTCCTCATCTCTGACCTAGAGATTGCCATTTCCCAGAGGGAGACAGGCTGCACTTCTCTGAGGCGGCTCTCTGATGGCCAGGCTACAGAAAGCATTCGTTAGTAGCTACACTGCATCCTATCTGACGGCTGATAAATGGATAATAGAGGCAAGAAAAATTAAATGGTTCAGGGCTATAAATAGACTAAG